TAATTAATAAATTAATTTTATATATTAATTTTTTTTTTCAAATCCCAAGAGGGCCCACCGCCCCTGGTCTACGAGTGGCTCCGCCACTGGGTATTTTACACAGAAATGGAGAGAAACTCTGGAAAAAGATGAACAGAACTACTATGTGTTTTGATTAATTCGAATATTTGTACATAGCAAAAAGTTACAATGAGAAAGTTAAAGAGTTGACCTCTACTTTTTGTGTTGCCATGTCTACTTGTATTTGTCTAACGATCTAACACATTAGTAAACAACAAAAAAAGGACAGCATATTAATTCAAACTGAACTTTGAAACCAATAGCATATTACCTAAATTACATTCGAATAATAACTAAGCTAAAATAGCATTGCTTCATTGCGTTAGCTATTCACCGTGGTGTTAACTTCAAAAGCTTGCTGAACATATATATGAAGCCTTACTGTCATGGCTGCAATCAACAGGTGACAGTTAGTTGAATAGTTCTGAATGCCTGTCTAGGATGGTACATGGGACGGGCTGTTCTAGCAGAAATTGAAACATTACAGTAGTTAGTAGGGGAAAAAATTTCCAGTATTGTGTCATACACAGAGGAAAAGAATAAAATTAAACACCAGCTGAAACCTTTTTTTCATTTTTGGAAATAGGCAAGCTTTTCCATTCCATGACAACTGAAATCTTTTATTTAAAGAAGATAACAAGAAACAGAATTAATCTTGAAAACGAAAGCGTTTACTCCCATGCGTCAATCACATTTCTTAGGATTTCTTCCGATACTTCATCATGAAGTGCTCTCAGAATGAAGTTTTATGACTGAAAAACCTTCCAACCACTCTAGATTTCAGCAACCCCAGTGCTTCCTCAGACTTGATGCACCTTGGTGTCTTGTATTGGCTAAGCGAGGATCCTTTTGCTATGAAGAACTCCATCAATGTGTCAAATGTTCTTCCTTCTAATACCCTAATCTCCAAAGGTGCAATGGCATTCTCATGTCTGTACATTTTATAGATATCATCCAAGTATTCTTCCAATATACAGCAGCATTGATCCATCAACTTTGAATCAAGCTCTTCAACACCACAAGAACCTTCCTTCTTCTTAAGCTCCCAAAACAGTACATAATGACCCGGTGTTGAAGTAGTGTCAGCATAGCTAGTATAATCTACCAGGAGGAAACCAAATGGCTCAAGGTGGAGCTGTGCTTTTGTCACTGCCTTTGAAAGGTCTTCCTCTGTTGTTTTGTCAGGGCCTAGACTTAAAACTACATTTCGCCGCCCCACGATCTGTACTTGGGGAGCATTGTTGTAGAAACCAATTATCTTGAGAATATCCCCAACTCTGTATCTATATAGACCTGAAAAATATTGCATTTCTTTTTAAATCAAAAGGAGCATCAAATCTAGTGAGAAAGTAGATCAGAAAGAAAAGAAACCATGCCTGCATTTGTTGTGGTGACAACTTCATAACATTGACCAACCTTTACATCTACAAGTTCAACAATATTCTCCTTTATTGTGGAATCCTCATCAAAAACATCACTGTCCTTTGAATTCACAGGTAGAAACTCAAAGTAAGCCATATTTGGGAGTAGAGTGTAGGAGATATCAGATGGCTGACATAAAGGATTTAAATTGAGCCCAAAGAAACATTCAGTAGAAGCATACACTGTGGAAAGTAAGGGGAGACCACCACTGTAGTATTGGAGTGTTGGAATATATTGGGCCATGGAACCAGTGACTATTGTAAGGAGGCCCTTTGTTCTAGGCCAGAGTTTTCTTACTATACCTTCCCATGATTTACCACTGCTGGCACTGCATGCCTGTTCTATAGAATCAGCCAATTTTGGATCAGGCTTGCTAAGGATGACTGAGACAGAATTTCTGCAACTTGGGTCAGTGATTAAATCACTAGCATGGCCTGTTCTTATGTCCAAGCACAGCTCTTTCCAGTGATCTTCCAGGAAACTGATAATGTTAAGGAAAGTAGATGCGAAGGGTGCTCCAACAATGACAACCTCATCTCGTTCAACTAAGCCACAGAGCAATTGAGAATACATGCTCTGCTTGATGTCAGAACATAGTATTGTTTCACAAGGACTAGAGTAGAGATCATTCTTAATTTTCCTCTGTTGAATATGCTTGGCCAAGCTTGTTATGTATGATCTTGCCACCAGACCTGATGAGGTTTTAGTCTCCGGTTTCATGAATTGAAGGAACATCCATTTTCCTTGGTTCAAACCATTTATACGCCTGCAATTTTACAAGGTCAATCCCTTAATCACCCCTTGTGCTGCATGTTGTATGAATTTTTAAAGGGAAGAATGGCACATTTTCTTACTTCATCATGACAGATGCACGCAAGCTTTGACCAAACAGCTTTTTGTCTAGGTATTCAGTGCTTGAGGGCACCATTTTTGGCTTCCCTCCAGAAGTACCAGAGCTGCATGATTGATTATTGAATCAGTTTGGTTTCAAGAGCTTAAGGGGAAAGAAAGAGATAAGAGAAAAATATAAAAATAGAAATCTTAATGCCTTATAAGAAGCTCTGGAACGGGTGAGTCTAAAAGTATCTCTGGTGGCTCTCCACTGGCAATTCGCTCCATGTAAGGCTTAATATCTTCATAATCCACCACTGGAACTTTCTTCTTGAATAGTTCCTTATCAAACTTGCCATTGAGGAAGCTCCTGAGATATTCTGTATTTGCATTCCGGGTAATTATTTCCTCCAATACCTGTTGTTGTATTAGAGCAGCATTGCTGGTCAGGTCCTCTAAAATCCTCCATCCAGCTTCAAAGTCATCTGACGCCATCAAACCTAGAGTTGAATCAGTTGATCAAATAAGAACAAAGCAATTAGAAGTTTAGCCCAGTTCCTTAAGAACTTTCATATTTATCCAAGAACATCGAGATGAATAGCAGAATATAAAAACTGCCAAGTTGAGAATTTGTATTTAAATATGGAATAGAGCTCAAACTTCACAGTATTTGCTTCATGGCTCATGAGTTAAATGTCAGATCTATGAAGAAAAATACCAGACCCAAGGCAACTCTATAAATTAAGGCTTGTTAACAACTCACTCAAGATTTCAAATGCATGAAATTTGAAAATTAACTGTGAAGATTGGAAAATTTTAGAGTTGCAACTTATCCAAATTACAAGATGTGACAAGTCTCCTAAGCTTTTGGGGTTCAGGGTATGTTTAGGAGTGAGTAAAGGTTCGTAAAAACTACAATTGCAAAGAAATCAAAACAAATCACTCAATAAACAAACTCAAATATCCAAGCAGAATTGTTATAGTCTTTTATTCTTTAACTTAATTTTTTATTTTATTTGGCTTTCATCATCTTCATTATTGGCAACGGGGTGAGGATTTTTTTTTTTTTTTTTTTTTTTAAATAGAAAAATGGTCCTG